GGGCCTCAGCACTGGGAGGGGGTGGGTGGGTGGGGGGTGGGAAGGCAGGTCCAAAAGAGGGACAGATGGCATTTTCCCTGAGGCGGAGTGGACCCCTGGGAAGGCTTCAATGGGGAGGACCACTGACCCTCAGTTCCTGCAGGGCCAGCCCACAGGTCCCCTCATGGGACAGGACATCTCCCTGCAGACAGAGATGGGGGCATTGACAGTGTGCGTCCAGTGGAGACAGCGCTGGGTGGAGACAGCTCTGGGTGTGTGACTGTGCTGGGGGAGAGGTCCGGCTCAATGGATGCCCCAAGGGTTGTTTAAGGAGGAAGGGACACAGCTAAGGCCAGGCCTGCTTACCAGGACCAGTGACCCCAAAGACCGCCCCCCAGCCTGGGGCCAGTGAAGGGAGAGCCCCTTGCTGATTTATGGTCCTCCAGGGTAGACAGGACTTAGGCTGCTAAGGCCTTGCTCCCTCCCTCCTCCTCCTCCCAGTTGGGGGTCAGCTGGGGTAGGGTGGCTCTCAGCTGGTTTCCAGATGGACCTGGTGGAGGGGGACCCTGGGGATGGAAACCCAGACACCCTGGGTAAAGGGACCTGGCCGGTGTCAGCTGGCCCCATGGCTGCCTTTGTTTCTCCCTGTGGTTGTCTTTCCATCTCTAGGCCTGTCTCTGTCTCAGGCTCTGTCTCTGTCCCATGCAGCCCCCCTTCCCCATGGCTGCCTGGGTGGGTAGGGGTGGGAGCTGGTGATTTATCACACACTGCCTGTCTTCCATCGGAAACGCTGGGGGTGGGCGCAGACTGTGCAGTGAGCTATGGGCCCCCAGGGCTCCACCACCCACCCCAATGTTGTTGCTCTGTCTGGTCGGCGGGTGCACCCCCCCACCACCACAACCTGGCCAGGGGTTCGGTCCCCCAGACCTTCCCAGGGCCTCCTCCAAGGGCTTTACTCAAGACTCCGCCCAGTGAGTGGCTAGCCCTCTCCCCAAACTCCCCCTCGCCTCCCCAGGCTGGAGGAGGGCCCTTAGAGGACCCCACATCCCTTCCCCCACCACCAGGTTGGTCGGGAAGTGGCGGGACCTCTGTTCCACTCCTCTGGGGAGCCCGCTCCAGGCCTCCTACCCAACGGCATCCGAGATCGAAGGAGCTGAGGCCAGCCCCTCACTGCCGCCTCCTCGCCGGCCTGGCAGCCGCTCTGCCCCACCCCCGCCTCGGTGCACACAGCAGGGGCTCAATAAGTGTTTTCGGAGCAAACAGGCGTCGGGAGGGCGGAGGGCACACCTGGGTTGACCCCCCCCACCCCCACCCGGCGGAAGAGGTCCCTTATCTTCCCGGTTGACGGGCTGTCAGCAAGCCCCGGGCGGGGTAGGGGGGAGGTATGGAGGGGCGGGGAGATGGAGAGGAGGGGAGGGGCGGAGGGGGCGCGCACCCCTCCCCGTCTGTCAGCGGCCTTCGGCGCACCCCTCCCCGCCCCCACGGGGTGTGCCATCTGCCCGCCCCTCCCCACGACCCACCGCCCGCCAGCCTGGGCAAGTTCCCCGTCTCTTGGCTCCTGTTTCTCCGTGGACTCTGGGTGTCTGCATCCAGCACCTACCTCGCCGTCCGCCCCCCTGCCTGCGTTTCTGCAGACCGCGAGCGCCCTCTGGTGCCTGCTCGGGGTCACGGCGCGCGAGGGGAGGGCTGGACGGGACCCGAGCAGCGCTGAGGCTCCTAGCGGGTCGCAGCTGTGTCTGCCCCAGGAATGCTGTCTGGCCCCGTGAGGGCTTGCTCTATTCAACCCTTTGGTCACTCACTAGCTAGCTGGTTGCAAGCAGACCTGGGATGTGGCTTTTGACCCTGGCGGACCTCAGGGGCACAGGCCTGGCTGAACACAGGGTCCCATGTGTCAGGGAAACTCCCTGCGGAGGCCGTGCTTGTGGGGCCTTGAATAGTGTGGACGTAGTTACAGCTGGAAGGGACAAAGAAAGGTTCGGAGACATTGGCCTGGTAGGGAGGGCACACCTGGACCTTGATGGAGAATGGAGGGTCCTGGGAGCCCAGGGAGACAGAGGAAGCAGAGGTGGGGTCTGAGAACCCTCGGGCTGCAGGGCAAGGGCCCCTGAATCAGTCAGACTGAGGGCTGGAGATGTGGTGGGGAAGGAGCTGGGCAGGGCCTTTGAGTGGATTGCTACCTGTTCCCATCTGGAAGGCATCTGAGGCCACAGAGCGGACCAGCCTGTCAGTGGGAAAGGGGCCCTGAAATTGGTGTGTTTTCCATGAGGCAGAGGGCAATGGTGTGGTGAGGGGCATGGTAGGCCCCCTGGTCTGGGGCTCTCCCGCCCTGAGCAGGGCCATTCAGGGGCGCTGAGCTGGGACCATCCACTTCCCCACACTCCTCGGAGGCTGAGGCCCCAGGGTCAGTGTGTAGAGGGTCAGCTCACAGTCAGGATTGGGGCTGGGGGCTCCCAGGCCGCTGGAGAAGGTCAGCCATTGAGGCCAGGTCAGTGTTCCCTGTGGCCAGTACCTTGGCAGGAGCAGTTCTGAATCTTGGAGAACTGAAAGGAAGCGAGGGAATTCTAAAAGAACCACGGGGTTCAGCTGCCCCATCCACCAACAAGGGGAAGTTCTTCCTTAGGTCTGACCACACTGTATTGTCAACCTCTTTCCTCCATCCTGCCCTTCATGGCCCCCATGCCCACCCTCTCATCTGGGCACTGGCCCAGAAGCCCTCTACCCTGTGGGCAGTGAGCAGTGAAGTTTGGCTCCTGCTAGGGCCTTGTCCTGTAGCCCAAGGGAGCCTCCTCTTCCTATCTGGGGTCAACTAGGACTCCAGGAGCTACTTTCTCCTGGGCCCTGCATTTGCTCCCTTCAGGGCGTCAGTGAAGGGAAGAGAGGGAATCTAGGGGGCTGCTCTCAGCCATGGAGGAAGCTCTGGGTTCAGCAGGAGACCCATCTGTGGGATTGGCTTTCCTCCTCTGGAAAGAGCGGGGGATGCCCCCACACCATGTTGGGACTGAGTTTAGGAAGTTGCCTGTGTACCTTGCTGTGACAACGACCATCACCTCTGATCCCTATCAAGGGCTCTGGGGGTGTTGGGCCACCCCTGGGGAGGGCAGGGTGGCAGTTCATTTGTACAAAGGGGCCATCATCTCTGATGTGGTGATAAGCCTGGAAGGACAGCCGGATGCCTTGCACCTGCCTACAAAGGCAGGGTGGTTCCTGCCTCACGTCCCACCAGTAGACCCAAGATAGCATCAGCCCAACCGGAGAGTCATCCGTCTTGTCCTACAAAGGCCAGGACAAAGGCCATGTCAGCAGCAGCCTCCCCGACCCGGTCAGTGGGGGTCTGGGCCTTCCTGTGCCAGGCGGCTGAGGTCCAGGCCTGAGGCTCCACTGGGGTCCTGTTTGGGGTCCACGGAAAGCAGCCTTCATTGTTCACAGGACCAGCCAGGTGGAGGCCACACCTGGGCGGGAGTGCTTACAGATCCCCAGTAAGCAGCCTGTGATGCACTGGGGTGCCCACAGTGGAGTTCCCAGCCCTGACTGACCGCCAGGGGCTGGGGGTGACTTAAGGCCCTGAGAAGCCCCTGGCTGGTCTGCGCAGTTGGAGGTGCCTTCCTGCAGTGAGCGGTGGTAAGGGGAGGGCATGATTTCAGAGACCGTGCAAACCCTGGTGTGCACTCACCCCTGCAGAGACCTTCTGTAGACCCCACTTTGCATGGCTTGGACCCCACCCCACCTGCCTTTCAGAGCTTCTCACCAGATGACCAAGGTTCTTGGTGGGCCACCAGACCGTCCTCATCATCCCCAATTCACCCCTGACTGCTCTGAAGCCTGCCACTGGGGAAACGTCACACACTGACCTGTCCCCAGAGCCACCTCACGGGCCCTCACTGACCCTGGAAACTGCCTCTCAGAGCATCCTCTCTCAAAACACTGCCCTGCGGTGTCCCCACACTGCTCTCACTGTCCCCAGTGTCCTCACTGTCCCGTGATCCTCATTGTTCCAGTGTCCTCACTACCCTGGTGTCCTCACTGTCCCTAGTGTCCTCACTACCCCAGTGTCCTCACTGTCCCCAGTGTCCTCACTGTCCCTACACTGTCCACACTACCCCAGTGTCCTCACTGTCCCCACACTGTCTTCAAAGTGTCCTCACTGCCCCAGTGTCATTCCCCACAGTCTCCTCACTGTTCCGTGTCCTCTATGTCCAGTGTCCTTGCTGCCCCGTGTTCTCACTGCTCCACACTGTCACTCCCCACTGTGTCAGCAGTGTCCTGTTTCCAACCTTGCCAGTGTCCCCACTGCCCCACGGTGTCCTACTGTCCCCATAGTTTCACCACTCTTCCCACAGAATTCTCACTGTACCCACAGAGTCCTGACTGTCCCAGAGCTCTCACTGTCCAGTGCCCTGTCTTCATAGTGTCCCCACAGCCCACCCCAGTGTCCTCACTGTCCACAGTCCTCACTCTCCAGTGTCCTTGCTCTCCCAACTGTGTTCCCACTGTCTCCACAGTGTCTTCACTCCCCAGGGTCCTCTCTGTCCCCACAGCATTCTCTGTGTCCCGAAGGGGTCCTCACTGCTCCCAGCGTCCTCATGGCCCCACACTGTCTTTAATGTCCCCACTCCCCACTGAGTCCTTGCTGTTCACTGACCTCACTGTCCAGTGTCTTCACCGTCCCCACGATGTCCTCACTGTCCCCATAGTCCTCACTGTCCACAATATCTTCTGTCTCCACAGAGCCTCAACTGTCCCAACAGTGTACTCACTCTCCTCATAGAGTCCTCACGGTCCGCACTGTCCCCACAGTGTCCCTACTACCCTACAGTGTGTCATTGTCCTTTGGGTTTTCCTTCCCACTTGAACTTCTGTGAGAGTCAGTGGCTGAGACAGTTTACTCACTGGCCTCATGTTCGGAGGTTATTGGGGGTGTATGAAGGTGTGACTGTCCCTTTGAACTGCTTCTCAGAGCTTTTTCTGCGGTTTGAGGAAGAGGGTTCCCAGGTCGTGGGTGTAGAGAGACAGGTCAAATCGGGAGACGGGTTTATTCTGCACTGGAATTTGGCGTGAGGGACCCCAAAGGGTTGGGGTGCATTTGATCCCCTGGACCTTCCTAAGCGTCCAGAGCGTGGGCTCGCGCACGTTAGCGGTGGGTGGACCAAGGCCTGCAGAGGATGGCGGGCCTGGGAGATGATGCCTGGGTGGAGGAGAGTGGGTCCAGGTTAGGGCGAAGGGCTCCTGGGGCAGGGTCCTGGCGAGTAGGCAGGCCCACCTCGCTAGGCGCCAGTCCACTTCTCTTAGGACTCGCTGGCTCCGTCCAGCTCCACTAGCGGGGCAGTCAGCGACCAACGGTGCGCAGCGCGGGCGCGCAGCCTCCGCAGGCGGCGCAGTAGCAGCGCCAGAAGCAGCGCGTGCAGCAGCCCGAGGACGAGCAACACCAGCTGCGCCACCAGCGTCCCCCAGCAGAGCACGCCGGGCGCGCAGGCGGCGCGAAGCTCTTCCTCGGTCAGGTAGGGCAGTAGGCGGCCGCGCAGCGCTGGGGGCCCGGCGCAGCGCAGGTCGCGATAGAGCGCGCGTTCTGGACGGCCGGCCAGCCAGGCGCGCAGTGGCACCAGGCGGCAGTCGCAGCGCCAGGGGTTGCCGCCCAGGTGCACTGCGCGCAGCGCGGGCATCACGTCCAGCATCCCCAGCGGCAGCGCCGTCAGGTTGTTGCCGGTCAGCACCAGTTCGGTTGTGTCCGGTGGAAAGGCGGCCGGCAATGAGGCCCAAGTCAGCCCGCGGCGCCCGCAGTCCACGAGCGTCTCGGCGCAGCGACACGGCGCGGGACAGCCCGCGGCCGGGCGGCTCGGCGGCGCGAGCAGCAGGAGCAATAGGCTCAGCGCCCCGTGCGGCCCTGGAAAGAAAGCGCCGCGGTGAGCTGGGTGGCCTGCTGGGCACCTGGTTGGGGTCCCTCAGCACCCAGAGCGCCGGTGCTAACTCCAGCCCCGGAAACCCGCGCCCCTCGTTGCCCGCAAGCCTCGCCACCCTGACCACCCCTGCACTGGCGGTAAGTTTAAGTCCGACCCAAATCTCTATTGCAGCCAAAATGACAGGAGCGCCTCCCAACCCGACTCTGCTCAGGGTGTGGCCTGGCCCAGCCGCCAGACTCACCAGAGCCCATGGCGAGAGGATGGTGGCCCGGCTTGCTCTGGAGCTGGAGGCGTTTGCTCGAGAACCAGGAGATAAGGCCGCCACGCCCCTACCAGGCTCTGGCGCTCCGGGTTCACCGACCGCAGCACAGCTGTCCCGCCAGAAATAACCCCGAGGCTGCCTCCGCTGGCGCTGAGGCCGCTGATAGAGCGCTATCACCAGGGCCAGCTCCGCCCGCGCTTCCGCCCCCATCCTCTCCCAGGGGCGCAAGGAGCACTCGGACACCCGCATGGACGTTCACCAACATTGTTCTCCTGTCACCAGGACAGGACGGCATTCACAACTAAACAAAACTGGAGAATGGGGCTTGGGGGGGGGGGGTTCATGCGGGTGGAGGGGTGGTGGGCTGGGCCAAGGGCTAGGGAACCCAGGGCAACAATGATACTGGGTAAAAGGGACCCCCAGCCGAAGGCAGGGAACAGCAGTCTAGGCATCAAGGTTGCCAGGGGATGGCCCACAGCTCACTGCTCCTGGAGCCCTCCACAAACTGCAGCTGTGGGGGAGGGGCGTGGGCTATACAGGCACCCCAGCCCCATGCCTCCATCCTGGCCTGCAGTGGGCTGGCCTCCTTAGGTCTGGAAGGATCCTAAATGCCTCGGGTGTCCCACCTGCCTGCTGAGCTACCGGGTGAGGAGGAAGAGAGGACCTGGCCCACATCCACACAAAGTGAGGTCTCAGCATATGCTGGGTGGACCACCAGAGCAGGGGAACACAGCTCCCAAGTCTGTGCGGTGGCACTGGGCTGAGGGAATAGGACTGAGACCCCCAGGATCTGCTCCCCTATTCTGCCTTAGTTTGCCTGCCTGTCTGATAGGGCCTGGAGTCTGAGTGCTGTGATCTGGGGTGGGAGTAAAATCTCAAAAGTCACAGCCCAACCTAGCTCCTGCTCCCCCAAGGCCAGAGTGAGGGCCATTGCCCAGGGCCCATGGAGACAGGTACAAATGAGGGGAGGGGCTGATTCTGAGAATAAATTAGGGTTGGCTGGGGGTTGTGACCCCACGTCTCTGGGTCAGGTCAGGAACAGTCTGGGTCTAGGCCACTCTGGGATTGGGGTTGTGTCCAGGCCTGTCAGAGATCCAGATGAATCCAGGGTCAAATCCAGGCCAGTCGGGGTCCAGGGGTGGGAAGGGCCAGTCCAGAAACTGGCAGTATATCCATGGCAATGTGGAGCTGGGGCAGGGTCACTGGTCCTGCATTTGCTGCTTCATCTTCTGCAGCATCTCCTGCATGCGCCTTAGCTGGGGGGTGGGGGGGTGGAAGGAACAAGGGAAGGTGGGTGAGAAATGAGTCCTGGCTCAGTCCCCAGCCCCTAGCCCTCACCACCCCTGCTCCATGCCTCACCAACCTCCTCATCCTTCATCCTGATAAGCTTCTCCGTCTCAGCATCGGGAGTGGGCAGTGGCAGGATGGGGATGGGGCTCTCCATGCGGCTGTCCTGGGTCAGTTTGCTGCAGGGTGGACAGGAGGGATAGTGCTGCTGGGAGGTTCGGTCAACCCTGCCACTACCAAGGCTGCCCTCCTAATCTCCCACACCTCTGGGATGCTCTGCGGAGACAAGGTGGTGGGGAGCCGGTCTGGGGGCTGGGGCAAGGTTCAGGCCTGGGTGGGCAGCCAGGACAAGGCTTGGTTATAGAGATGTGTCTGAGGCCAAGAGGTTTGTGTCTAGGTTTGCGGCGAGATGATGCACCTGGTCATCTGCTGGATGCAATGTGCACGGTAGTTCTCGTAGTGCACGTCACACGTCACGTCCTTGAGGTCATGCATGTGTGTTCGGATGAGCATGTTTCGCAGCTTCACGAAGTCGCAATGCGCCTGGTTCTCCACTGCAGAGCAGGAGCAGGAAGTGGGTGGGGCGCCAACCAGGGGGAAGCCTTCCCACCCAGCATGCTGTGCCCTATGCCTGGACTCACCCTCCACGATCCCCCAGGGGTACAGTCGCCCCCGGACTCGCTGGCCCTTGGCCTCCACCACCGTGTTGCTGCCGATTACGGCGAAAGGTGCACTCTCCTGTGGAGGGGCAGGTGCAAGGGCTCACGCCCAATTAGTATGGGTTAGTGGTTGGAGAGGGGCATGGGTTAGTGGTTGGAGAGGGGCATGACTCAGCGCCTGGTCAGGCCCTCCGGGATCACCATCAACGTCCTCTCCCCAAAGAGATCCTGGTGTCACCACCTCCACTCCCACCCCACCTTCTGGCCTCTCTGCTGCTGGCTGAAGCCAAAGCTGGTGCAGCTCACATCCTACGGCCTATGACTGTACCTATGCCTCCTAGTGATACTCCTGACTTTAGTTGGGGCCAAGGGCCTGCCCAACCCTGCTCCTGGTCTTGTGACCACTTGTCTCCAGCTTCGGATTGATCATAACCACTCTAGGTGCTGTGGCACTCAAAGCCACCTCCACTCTCTGATGCACAGAATTCTGGGAGCCAGTGTGTATGCAAAGCCACTGGCCAGGCCCTTCTGCTGGTGATTCTTGAGGAGACTGAGGAGCAGGGTCAGGGCGGGGGCCTGGCCTGAAGCTGTACCTTTGGGTCCTGGCAAGAGCTCCACGACTCGCTAACCAAGAGGGACCCAGATATATAAGGTAAGCAGGAACATGGGCGACCCTAGCTCTCTCAGGCTAGGTGAAGAGATTCTATTGCCCAGACTGAAAACCAACTCCCAAGTTGCACCTGGGCAGGCTCCCCTCCTCCGTCCCATGTGAACTGGACTTCAGTTTCCTCCCTGCCCTATGGGCTGCATACTCACCTTCAGTTCCCGATCCTGCTGCTTGAAGTCCTCGTCCTCATCTGAGTCACACTCAGGAAACTGATACACATGGATCCCGAATTTGTCAATCTCTTCCCGGATCTGCAGTGGGGTAAGGCTGTCAGATTAAGGGCTGGCAAGGTCCCCTGGGCCCAGTGTGGTGGCCCCCAGGGTCAGCATGCCTGGTGCTCTTGGAGCCCAAATCCTGGGCCAGGCCCCACTGCCACACAGGCTCACCCGCTCCTTCAGCTTCCGGATCTCACCGGGGACCAGACAGTCAGCTTTGGCAATGAGGGGCACGATGTTCACCTTCTCATGCAGAGCCTTCATGAAACCCACGTCCACTGGCCGCAGCCTGCAGGGAGCAGCCAGGGTGGTGAGGAGCTGGTGGGGGTGATGGTGGGGCAGAGGGAAGGTGGGGGAGGGTTCAGGGAGGGAATGGTGTGGGGGCTCAGATGGCTCTCTGCAAAGGTGGGTGGCCCCTGACCCCAGGAAAGTCACACACCCGTGCCCAAATGGAGAGATGAAGTACAGGCAGCAATGCACACGGTTGTCTTGGATGTTCTTGCGGTTGAGGCCACTCTCGTCACGGAAATACTGCTCAAACTGCTGGTCCACGTAGTCAGTAATGGGCTTCCAGCTGTGGGCAGGGGGTGCATGAGGCTGGGCTGTGAGGGCAGCATGCTGGCACCAGGGGAGGCTGGGTCAGCCTGGGCAGGCACTGTTCCCCAGCCAGGCCTTCCTCACCACTCAGAGTTGTTTACAGCATCCCCAAAGCCCGGGGTGTCCACAATGGTGAGCTTCAGCTTGACACCCTTCTCCTCGATGTCCACAGTGTGCTTCAGGATCTCTACAGTCTGGCTGATGCGCTCTGTGGGGAACATAGACGTGGTTGGAGGGGCCTCTCTGGCCCTCACCCTTCACCCTGGCAGCCAGGATCCTGTTCTCATCCATCCTAGTGTTTTGGCCCTGGCCACAGTTCCTGACTGCGGTTTGGGCCACTCCTGCTAGATCCTGAACAGAAGACCCATGCTGTGGGGAGAGAGAAGTGGGGCTGGACCTGGAAGGGCATCCTCTGAGGGGGTCGCACAGGAGGGGATGGTGAACCAGTGCCAGGACAGTTTGGGGTTCACTCACCCTCAGCACTGAGAAGTTTCCGGTCCTTGTACAGATCGGTCAGGAAGAGGCTGTGGACCAGTGTGGACTTCCCCAGGCCCGACTCACCTGCCCACAGGTACAGCGAAGAAGTCAGATTAGGTCTGAGGCGCCCACAACAGATCCTGGCCAGGCCCCAGCCACCCTACCTGGGATCCTGGCCCACTCACCGGCCACCATGAGCGTGAAATCGAAGCCCTTCTTCACTGACTTCCGGTGCACCTGGTTGGGCAGCGTGGCAAAGCCCACGTACTGCTTGTCAATATCCTGGGGGCAGGGGTGAGGCAGGTCAGGGGTACCCTGGGGCTCCTGGGCAGTCCCACGCCCTGTCCCCTACCCAGCTCAGGCAAGAAGGCAGCAGAGGAAAGAATCCCCAGGGTGGGGAATTTCAATGGCAGAAAGGGGATGAGGGCTTGGAGGTGGGTAGGCAGGTCATAGCCGACACCGTGTAAGTGTGTGGAGGGAGAGATGTCTGGAGGCAGCAGGCAGGCAGTGTCCTCCCTTGAGTGGCGGACAGAGGGCACCAAAACCGAGACCCTTCCAACTTGCCCTAGGCCCTTCATAGGCAGGAAAAGCCTGGCCTCAATACTCACCCCTCCCTAGTGTACCAGGGGGTGGGAGGCCCCGTGTGGCCCTGATCCAGCCGCGGGGGTGGCTGGCTGCAGCAACATCGGAGCAGGGGCTATTTATAGATAACGGCGCCGAGCCTCCCCCGCCCGCCGGCCTGCAGGGTCCCACACCCACCCCCTGTGGACCCTGGCCCCGTGGGCCGCTGTCACATCCCAGAGCCCTGGGCCTGGCCCCAGCAGGCGCACACACACTGACCCACATTCCACTCCCTTCTCCACACACACCTTGAGCCGCCTCTGGGCCTGGGTCCGCGGCGACAGCAGCTGCTCCACCAGGCGGTCCTGGGGCGCTGCCAGGGAATCCATCACAGCGACCCCCCAGACCCAGCTGGCGCCTCCGGACCTCAGACCGGGTCAGACCAACACGGGCCCGACGTTCTGGAGGGACTTAGACGCGGTAGTGTCTCGAAGCCCTATTCTCGTTCCGGTTTTAGGGACACGGGAACCGAGGCCGGGAAACCGGACGTGGCCCACCCGAGGTGCCGCCGACCCCGGAGGCCGCGCAAGCCATCCCCCTGCCTCTGCGGACCCGCCCTGAGACGCGGCGTCGCAGCCACAGCCGGCCCCGCTCTGCACGCGAACCAGAGGCGGGGCTCCGCGCAGAGACCGCCCCGCTGTCGCCGGGAAACGGTCGCCTGGAAATTGGGCCGCGGGCGGAGTCACCCGAAAGCTGCCGCGGAGGGCAGGGACGAGCACAGGCGAGGGGGGACGCGGCGCCTACAGGGAGCCCCGCTGCCCGACGTGCGGCCTCAATCCAGGCGTCGGGACAACCGGGGTAAAGAGGGGGAAGGTGAGGCCGGGTTCCACTGGCGGGTCGTTGTGGGGAACCGGGGAGACTGGCCGCTGCGTCCGGCCCCTCGAGAGGTGCAGCGTAGCTTCTGTCCGCCAGAGGGCGCCAAAGGCCGCTCCCGGGCCCCACGCGCACCCACACGGGACCTGCCCATGCACCCACTTTCCTCGCAGACTCCGCGGGAAAACCGCCGGCGTTGTCTGGCCTACCCATGGGCACACCCCTCGCGGCACTGCCCCCACCCCTCCGCTTGGGGCTGAACTGCCCCACCCCCTCATGTGTGTGCGTGTGTTAGCATGTATGTTTGGGACTACTTAACTAGCGTGCCCCCAAGACCTGTGGGGGAACAGGACGAGGGCAAAGCCCAGCTTCCCCATGAATCAGGACCATCCTCCTCAGCCTGGATGTGCCCCCCACCCCCACCTCCCCCTTGCTCTGCTGCTATATCCACTCCCCAACCCCCAGCCCCAAGGAGGCTGGGAGCAGGCAGGGGCCAGTCAGAGCACTAGCCACCTACCCTGCTCTACCTCTGGAAACTTGGAAGCTGAGACCAGCATGTCGCTCCACTGTGTGCTGCCATGGCTGTCCCTGAAAGCCCTTTGCTGCAGAGGTGGAGGTGTGTGGAGTGCGGCCCCTTTCCCGTGGCTATTCGCTCTACGCCTCTCTGACTGCTCTGACCCACAGAACTGAGCACACAGGGACTGGAGAGTTCCGGCCAGCTCAGCCCTTACCCCAGGCCACAGTGGTCTCCTGAGCCACCAAACCCTCTCCATCCCCTCCAGCACCCAACTAGAATCTGAACAAGACAGCGCCAGCTGGACAGGAAGGAATGTCTGGCAAGTGGCTGGGGCACCTCCAGGAAGACAGACAGAGAGACCCGGGTCTGGGCTCAGGCTGAGAGAGAGCCTCAGCACTCCACAGCCTGGTGTCTAACAGCTCCCAGATTACCTCATTATCCCCAGAGGTAAGGCACAGCTCTGGGAGGCATAGGTTGGGAGAAAGAGCGTCTCACTCCCAGCTCCAGTTTGCCTGCCCTATTACCCAAATGTGCCCAGACAGGGCCAGTGGCCGCCCTGGGAGAACCCCGAGGAAGGGGCCCTACCACCACCTTTCTCTGGCCCTGAAGCACAACACGTTCTCCTCAGGGCTTCCCAAGCCCTAGACACAGCTGTGCCCACCTCCTCCTGCAGCCTGACTCTCGAGGCATTTCCATTCTTAGACTCAGCGCAGTCAGCTCCGGAAGCAGTCACCAGAGCCAACAGAGCCCCCATCACTGCCTGAGACCGGGTGGGGTTTGGAGAAAGGGGCGCAGAGGGCCACCAGAGCCCCCCTACTTCCTGAGATGATTAGAAGCACAGAGAGCCACTGGAGCTCCACCCCCCCCCCCCCGAGTGTGGACAGTAACATCAACAATGGTGACACTGAAGCCCCAAACACCTGGCTCCATGGCCCTGCTCCCGGGTCTCCCCCTCTAGCTACATGGCGCCCTCTCCCAGGTCCTAGGGGCAGAGGGTGTTAGGCAGGTGCCTAAATGACTTCAAAGGAGGGTCAGACACAGGCCTGAAGGGGCTCACACCATGCAAGAGGGGTCCCTGGGGGGTACTAGGCAATAACTGCTCGGCCCAGTGACAGCAGGCCCAGGAGAAGCCGCGGGGGCTGGTCTTCCAGGCCTTCCCTCTCTCCCTCAACAATGGCCTGGCAGCATGTGTCCGCGCATCTCAGGCATTGTCCAACCCACATTTGGAGAGGCAGTTCCCGGCCTGGGCTCCCTAGGGAGCCCCTCGCTGGCAGGGTGAGGTTCCTCCCCAGGAGCCCCACAAGTCTCAGGGCAGGGTGTGTCCCTGCCAGGAGACTGGCATCAGGCAGCCAGTGACTCCCAGCCCCCACCCCAACTACTGGGCCACACCTAGCCCACCTGCCTCACCCTGTGCCATCACTTCAGGTTTCTACCCAGCATCTGCCTGGTGTATGAACCCCCATCCTCACCAGGGCTGCAGGGCCACCCTGGTGCCAGAGTTGGGCCCTTCTTTTCTCCCCAAAACATGGTTGTTCTCAAGTAAGAGAGGCCCCAGCAGGACTGCTCCAGAGCCCCCAGCCCACCCGGTTACCCACTCCCTTCTCACACTCTGGGTCTCCAGCTGTTTAATCCGAACCCCATCTGCGTTTCTCATTGGGTACCCAGACCAGCCTCCTGTCGAGTCCTGCATTCCTGGAGGGTGGGGACAAGCCTATTTGTACCCACTAGGTCGGAAGACCCTTGCTGGGCTCAGGGATGACTCAGACCAGGTTCCAGAGGCTCCCTGCCTGGAGAAAAGGCCTGGCCACAGAACAGCCCACTCAGATGGGTTTGTGGGGAGAGAGGGGCATAAGATGCAGAAGAATGGGGAGTGATGGACAAGGGCTCCCCTGTGGGGCTGCTCAGGGTCTCTGTGCTGGCTGGTGAACACAGAGACCCCGCCCCAGGGGTCCCTGGATGGTGCAGGCCCCCCCAGCCTGTGGCCTGCCCTAACAGTAGCTTTACTTGGGACCCTCAGCACAGGGCCTAAGGCCAGGTCAGCCTGAGGATGCAGGCGCTGGACCAGTGGAGAAGGGCACCTGGCCTGTACATCCATCCTGGGAGGGGTGCACACTCCTGCTGTGAGGGTCAGAGGCCAGACCCCTGTGGCATGGCGCCTACTAATGCCATCCGCAGCCCCAGGCACTGCAGCACTGCCCAAGCTGACAATCGATTGTCGCGACAGGGTGGGGTGACGGCCGGCGGGGGCGGGGTCTCGCCTGGGCGCCCACAGCGCTGGTGCCACAATGGGTGACAGCCAGCCGGGTGAGCGGCAGCACGCACATACCTGCTTGTCCTCTGCTGGGTAGGGGTCGGGTCGGGTCGGGGTCCGGGTCCGGGCGGTTCCGGGCCGGCGGGCGGGGGAGAGACGGAGAGACACGGTGAGAGACGGGCAGGCGGCGGGGACAAAGGCGCGCGCAGGCGGGCGCCAGGCTCACCTGGAGTCGCCAGCTTGCTCTTGTACCGCAGGCCTGTGCTCATGGTGGCCGCCGGCGGGGGACGTGCGGCGGCGGGCGCGCGGGCGGGGCGCGGCGACGAGCGGCGAGGCCGAGGCCGGGCTGCGGGGTGACCGGCCCTCCGCGCGCCGCCGCCCGCCCCGCCCGCGAGCCCGGCAGCCAATCGGCGCCCGCCGCGCCCACGCGCGACCCGGCGCGGCCCGCGGGGGCGGGGACCGGGACACCCACCACCCACCCCCGCGCCGGCGGCCTGGGGGCCACGCCCTCCCCTCCATCTGGCAGGGGCATCGTGCCCACTGCCCGACGCCCTGCCCTCCGTCCCTTGTCCCTTTGCCCAGTCCTGGACTGTGACTCCTGCTTTCACGGCCCCTAGTCCAAACGTGGGCTTCTGACCACCCCGTGCTGTGGCCCTTCTGTGAAACCTGCCCCTTGGGACCTGACTGCCTCATGCCAGCTCCTGCTCTGCTCCCCACCCCACTCCCCTCCACCCCCAACCCCCTGCTCTGCAGACTCACAGGCTGACCTGCTAGAGGTGGGATCCTGGCTTTCTGTACTGGAGGGCAGCGAGGGGCACTGTGAAGGGAGGGCCAGGGCCTTTGCCCCATTTATGTGAGAAAGCTGAGACCCCAGACCTGCACTGAGTACATGGAACTCATGAACACGAATGGCTCCCATCCTCTCTGTCACAATCACACTCCCGGTACCCTCAGCCTGAACCTTCTTGGAGTGCTCCTCGTGGCACATCTGGAGCCTTTGGTCCCTCAGCAAGGGACAGTCAGACCTGTGGTCACCATCTCCCCAGGTGAGTGCCCCCCCCCCCGCAGGAAACCCTTCTCCAGATCCAGCCCCTCATGTGCCCTTGTTTCCTCCATTGGCCCTTGGGCTGGGGAAAGAGGGTCCTGGGGCTCCAACAGCACCTAGCACACAGTTGTTAGCTCTGTTAGTGTAAAAGTCACATCAGCAGCACTGTCACTCTGCCAAATTCTGTGGCCAAAGTCCATCTTTCCCAGAACTGGGAACCTCCTCCTGGTCCAAACCTGTGACAAGTGTGAGGACACTTCACTGCTCCAACCCCTCATCCAGAACCTCGGGACCATGTGTGACTGGTCCCGAGGTTCCCAAAGAATTCAGGATTCTTTGTATATATTGTATTTTATATGACACGTCTCTGGAAGCTGGGGCTGTACCTTGTAATGAAATACAAGATTTTACTATTCAAAGGAACTGGGGCTGCCCATCAGTTTGTGTCCAGCTTTGTCTTAAAAACCTTGACGTTTCAGAGCTTCGGAGAATTTGGAATTGTGGATAAAGGAATGGGGCTGGAGGGGACACTCAAGGTGTCAGGAAAGACTTCTGAGCCTTCATCAGCTCTGAGATGCTCTATGGGAACCCCGCCTCGGGGCTCTGTAGCTTTGCAAATGGTTCAGTTGGTCAATAAAAAATGACACTTGGCCCTGGCCACTTTGGCTCAGCGGTTGGAGCATCGGCCTGAGGTTCAGAGAGACCCGGGTTCGGTTTCCACTAAAGGTACGTACCTCGGATGCAGTTTGTCTCCGGCCCTGGTTGGTCGTGCAGGTGGAAACCACTCGATGTGTCCCTTTCACGCCGATGTTTTTTTTCTCTCTCTCCCTCCCACTCTACCTGAACCAAAAATGGAAAAATGTCCTCGGGTGAGGATAAAAAAAAAAATGACAGTTGGACATTTAGCATGATGGTCCCATACAAGCC